AACAGCGACTACAGCTGTGGGTGACCAACAGTGCTCTGGTCACATATCAAAAACACAGCACTGCAGGGGCTGCTCTGCAGAGGAACTCTGTCCCAGCCAGAATCAGTGTCCCCACAATGGGCAAGAAGCTCTGGAAGGAGCCAGGAAGGTGCTAATAAGCACCAGGACAACTGAGTAAGCCCAAAGGCCTTTCTGAAGGGTCACCGAGTGCCACCTGAGAGGCAGTGCTGGGCAGTGGGGACGGCCAGGAGAAATTCTTGTGAGAAGGATGTGAGAAACAAGGAAATGTCACTGCCATTGCCCCAGGGCTGTAACAGATCTCTCACAAGACTCCTTTGATGGGGATTTGTGAGCCCAGGGGACAGCAGTGAATGGAGCCCGCAGAGCGTGAGCCTGTCGTATGTGGACTGAGCAGAGCTCAAGTGCTCAATCTGCTGTGAGCACACAGAGGAGAGCTCTGCAGCCCCAGGGCACACAGCAACCCCAGCAAAGGAGCCTGGCGAGTGATTCCTTGCAGCCCCGGGGCAATGGCAGTGACTCCATGAGCTGGGTCTGCTTCCCAGCTTGCCCAGCACATCCCTGCAGAGTGTCTAGTGCCCCAGGAATCCCGTCCCCCTCACCCTACAGAGCAGCTCCACCAGCTGAGGCTGGGGCTGGGGCTGGGGCTGGGACTGGGGCTGGGAGGTGCTTCCCCAAGTGTTTTCCAGGCCAGCTTCATGCACAGGGCTTCTGGATGTGAGCGTGATCTTCACTTAGAGCAAGGATCTGAGAGACCACCAAAAGGCACAGGGCAGGAGGTCCCTCTGGCCCAAGTACCTTACAGGACTGGCACGGAACTGGCTCCTCAGAGAGGCTGGGAGCCCATCATCAATGCTGCAAGGATCACAGCCAGATTACTTGTAGGTGGGCAGGTCCTGTCCCCAAAAGGGGGTGTTTTGTAGGTATGGTATTATGAGGTCAGTCGTGCTTCAGAAATTTTAGTCCAAACCCTTTTTCCATTATCTTTACACTCTTGCTCAGCCTGATCCCTGTCCTTAACACTAGCATTAAAATGCTATAATTAACTCTAGTATTCTTGCAGATCTAAACAAAATGTTAAACCAAAGAGCTTGCACATACCCTAACCACAGAGCTGACACCCCAAGCAGAACACCAAACCCTCCTACTAAAAATTTGCTTAATCTCTAACACAGAAAAGTTTGCTGTAATCCCTAATGCCATAAAAGAACAACTAACATCCAAAGCCTGTCTTCCCGTGCATTAACCTCCTCACCTTTAACCCTTTTCCTAACCTTTAAATTTAGGTTCTTTTTCCCTAGGGGCAAGGCAGGAACTGTGAGGCTGTTCTGCAGTAACATGGCATTCAAAGATGGATGTGAGGGGCCATGGATCTGATCAGCTTTTAGGCCACAAGGAGGAGATGGGTGGGGATGCTCTGAGGAGCTCAGCTCTACCTCAAGATCTCCTGCCCCAGCAGGAGGAATGTGACTGTTGCAGGGACTGTGAGGTCACTTCTGTCTCTGCACTTGATAAGGCAGCTGCAGGAACGTGTCACAGAAAGGGACTGTGAGGTCACTTGTGTCTGGAGGTGGCAGGTCACCCTTGCCTTCTCCCTGGGAACTGGACTTTTGGGCTGACATCTGGCAGTGGCCCTGCTAGGCCAGCAGAAGGCACCTGCTTGGCATGCTGACTGGGGGATCCCCTCTGCCTCCAGAGCCAGGAGGACCCAGACAGAAAGAAGGCCCCCAGATGGGTTGTCCTGTCCCTTCTGCTTGAGTCCATGACTGCACAGCAGGAGGCACAAGGCTTGGCTGTGTCTAGCCAAGAAGCTGCAAGGCCAGCAGTAGGCCCCTGGCTTGGAAGCTTCTGCTGAGGTGACTTGTGTCTGGTTGGCTGAGAGGCCACAAGGAGCCTGCTGGGTTGGGCTGCCTACTTCAGGAGTGGTTTCCACTCTGATGGAGTTTACTTTCGTAATATGAAAGAGCAGGAGAGAAAAACTGCCAAAAAGTGCACCCTGGACTGTTTCCACCAGCCGTGAGGAGGAAGAAATGTCCAGGGGAACAACTGGTCTTGCTGCTAGAGTCAGAGGCAAAGAAAGCATTAAGAGCCTCAACCTTTACCTCCTTTCTTGTTACCAGGTTTCCCCCCACATCCAACAAATGATGATGATTCTCCCTAATCTTCCTTTATTTGAAGTATTTCTATAAGCAGTTTTTATTGTCTTTGACAGTAATATACAAATTGAGCTCCAACTAGGCTTTGGCCCTTCTAGTTTTGACCTGCACAACCCCAGAACATTCAGGACACAGCTCCAGACAAACTGACAGCATGCATGAGAACGAAGCACAGAAGAGATGGAACCTGGCAGCCTTCCATCCCCTACCCTTCTGTGACTCTGTGCTGCAATGCCATTCAACTGGTTACTCCTGTATTGTCCAAACTTTCCTGCAAGTCCTGATGCTGCTGTCTTGTCAGAGATAGCACAATCACACACAAAGTTTGAACTGTCTGCCTGTAGACATGAAGAGCTGACAGAATGGAGCATCAGTGTGGGGCAACCTTGAGAAACTGCAGGATTTTGCCTACAGAAACCTCTCGGCATTTACAAGGAGAAGAGCCCAGTCCTGCACGGATGAAGAGTAACCCCACATATCCAGGCAGAGTGGGACCCTGCAGAGTGAGCAGTGCCCAGGAGGAGGATGGCCTGAGCACCACGAGGGACGCCATACGAGCAGTGGTGCCTGTTCACCAGGAACCAGGCCAGCTTCCTACAGAGCTGCCCTACAAGGAACATGGCCACCAAGAAGATCTGAGTTATCAGACTCAGCTGAGACCCGGTGTGACACCACACAGACAAGTGCCTACAAATAGCCAGTAAAGAGGTGCAGGTCAGGGAGTCCCTTAGACAGCCTGGTTTGGAGAAGAATAAGGGCTATGGCAATGCTGAAAGTCCCAACAGGACTCAGGTCTTTGTGTCCATAGCTAAGGCTATTGTCTGTGCCACTGAGGCCTATATGGCCTATGAGCTTCTTATTAAAGCACCAGGGCCTCATTGCCTCCTCGCCCCCAACCTTGAACCAGGCAGGGGTCATACCATTCTCCTGCACTTGGCCATGCACATCCCCATCTCCTACTGCCCCACAAAAAGCTCTGAGCAAGGTGTGAAGGGAAAGGATCTCCTGTGCCAGGGGCTGGAGGTCAAGGCCTGGCCCTTGTGCTTGGTGACACACATCCAGTTTGTCTACACACCAGTGTCACCTTCACATTGCCTTTGTCTCCTTGTCCTCACTGCCTCCAGGGTTCTGCTCTAATGAGCTCCAAGGGAGGCTGTGTCAGTGCTGGCCCTCAGGGGAACACTGCAAGAAACTTGCCTCTGACTTGCACTTCTGGAGAGATGTCTTCAATTGTCTCTGAGTGCCTGAGGTTCGTGGGCTCATCAGGCAAGCCCCCAGAGGGGTGATTGCAGTGCCTTGGGCTGGTGCTGTGCTGCTGATCTGGGCCGGGCTCGTGGGACAGAGAGAGCTCGTGACAAGAGGGCCGTGGTGCAGAGAGACAGCTGTGCCCAGGAGCAGCTCCTCTGCACAGCGCAGCAGGGCTGGGGGCTCTGACCGCAGCTGGCACACAGAGAGGACAGAAGGAGAGAGGGCTTGGAGGCACTGAGGAGCGCAACAACAGAGGGCAGCGTGTGGCAGGACACATCTGCAGGCTCTTGGCACCGTGAGGTTCTGGCAGCAGGGCCATGCAGGTGGGGCTGCCAGAGGGGTCTTCTACAGCTGGCACATCTAATGGCTGATAGCGTCTGTCAGGGTGGGTCTCACTCTTTGTAATTTGGACTAGGATAAGCTTTAGAGAGTAGCATTTATGAATGGGCATTTCAGGAGGAAGACTGAGGCTTGGTTAGTCTGAGGAGGAAGGCTTTTTTGGATTCAGTGCCCTAAGTGCCTAATTCTTGCAGTGGAGGCGAATCTGAGTGAGTGTGAGCACACGGCTTGTGGTATGGGGTCTGTTAGCATGGACAAGGAAGAGATGTGGGGACACAGAACCAGTTCCCAGCAAGGATATGGGCAGGAGGTGTGAGGCAGCTCCTGCTAGAAATGCTGTGTGAGGGAGGGCTCAGGCACTTCCCTGGGACAATCCCTGCTATTCTCTCCCACAAGCACAGCGCAGCTGAGACCAGAACGGATGGACAGACTGGCTGTGCTCTCTGAAGTACACTCTGCACTAGAGGAATAGTATCTGTGACTCTGAGGATCCACAAGGTTTTGCTTGTAGTGCAGCAGGAATGACAGTATAGGAAAAAGAAATGACCACAGCCCTTCTCTGCCGTTAGGTGATTTGGGAGCAACAATTTGTTCATTTCAAGAGTTAAAATATTGTGAGAATACTCCATGTTCCTCTTCACTACTTTCTATAGGTAAGAACTGTTAACTGCACTGCCTACAGCAGAGTCCCCTGCTCCCAGGGACACCGTCACCAAGCAACAGTAAGAGCTCCTGAAGTGAACCTGCCTAATCTCTTCTTAGAGGCCGAAATTGAAACATAAATTATCATATACTTTTGTTGTGCCTTCTTACTGCCTTGTCCCTCCTTGGATAGGACCCCATGCCCAGAAACAGCAGATGTCCAACATCAGCTCAGTCACTGAGTTCCTGCTCCTGGCATTTGCAGACACGCGCGAGCTGCAGCTCCTGCACTTCGCGCTCTTCCTGGGCATCTACCTGGCTGCCCTCCTGGGCAACGGCCTCATCCTCAGCGCCGTAGCCTGCCACCACCGCCTCCACACCCCCATGTACTTCTTCCTCCTCAACCTCGCCCTCCTCGACCTGGGCTGCATCTCCACCACTCTGCCCAAAGCCATGGCCAATGCCCTCTGGGACACCAGGGCCATCTCCTATGAAGCATGTGCTGCCCAACTCTTTCTCTTTGTTTTGTTGGTTGTAGCAGAGTATTGTCTCCTCACCGTCATGGCCTACGACCGCTACGTTGCCATCTGCAAGCCCCTGCACTACGGGAGCCTCGTGGGCAGCAGAGCTTGTGCCCAGATGGCAGCAGCTGCCTGGGGCAGTGGCTTTCTCACTGCTGTCCTGCACACGGCCAACACATTTTCCCTGCCCCTCTGCCGAGGCAATGCTGTGGACCAGTTCTTCTGTGAAATCCCTCAGATACTCAAGCTCTCCTGCTCAGATACCTACGTCAGGGAAGTGGGTGCACTTCTTTTTAGTTTGACTTTAACATTTGGTTGTTTTATTTTCATTGTTTTCTCCTATGTGCAGATCTTCAGGGCAGTGCTGAGGATGCCCTCTTCTCAGGGCCGGCACAAAGCCTTTTCCACGTGCCTCCCTCACCTGGCCGTGGTCTCCCTGTTTGTCAGCACTGTCCTGTTTACCTACCTGAAGCCCCCCTCCATCTCCTCGCCATCCTTGGACCTGGTGATGGCAGTTCTATATTCGGTGGTGCCTCCAGTATTGAATCCTCTCGTCTACAGTATGAGGAATCAGGAGCTCAAGGAAGCTTTGTGGAAATTGATGTTTAGATGTGTTGCAGGAGAATAAGTGGTCAGTCTGCTTCTGCAGATGAGTCATAATGTTACTTGTTATAGGAACGGCCTATAGACTGTTTCTTTTTGTTTGTGTGCTTGTGTGCAATTTTATTACTCAATTTCCTTAGTTTTAGTTCGGTTAATGTTACCCACTAAAATGATATTATTCATCCCAATTCCGCTTAAGTATGTAGTTTTAAAGTCTAGCTTAGCAACTATACAAAAAGAGCCCGTCTATCTGTGAACTTAAGGAAGGAGTCTGCACTGCCGTCTTATTCTGACATCCTTCCTCTGAGACCAGGCCTGGCTCTGCAGGGGCAGTGCCCATGTGCAGGGGTGCAGAGGAAAAGAGTCCCATCCCAGCAGCACGGCCAGGGAGCACCAGCGCTTGGGGCATGCAGAGCTGTCATCTTGCCACTGCTGCCCTGTCCTGCTGAGCCCTGCTGGTGGGGTCAGGCCTGGCTGCTCCTCTCACTTGGTGCCAGTGCTGCTGTGGGGCTGTGCTGGGACTGCAGGCAGGGACAGGCAGTGGGCACGGCAGTGGCACAGCTGGCCTCCACTGCAGCACTTCCCTCCTAAGGGGGGATATCCTCCGAGGTGGACTGACCAGAGCTCAAGTGCTCAGTCAGGTGTGAGCAGGCAGAGGAGAGCTCTGCAGCCCCAGGGCACGCAACAGCCCCACCAAAGGAGCATGGCGAGTGATTCCTTGCAGCTCTGGGGCAATGGCAGTGACCCCATGAGCTGGGTCTGCCTCCCAGCCTGCCCAGCTCGGCACTGCAGAGTGCCTCCTTGCCCCTGGCACCACAGCCCCCTCACTCTGCAGAGCAGCACCGCCAGCTGGGGCTGGGGCTGGGGCTAGAGTTGGGGCTGGGAGGGTGCTTCCCCTGAATGTCTGCTAGGCCAGCTTCAGGATCATGGCTTCTGGATACAAACATGATCTTCAGTGTGCACAGGGAGCTGAGAGACCGCCAACAGGCACAGGGCTGGAACATTTCCTGCAAGGTCCCTCCTGCCCTAGCACCTCACAGGACTGGCACGGAACTGGTTCCTGTGTGTCAGAGAGGCTGGGAGCCCAGCAGGCTTGAAGGACGAAAAACAGATCACTTCTAGCTGGGCAGGTCCTGGCCCAAAAAGGGAGTGTTTTGTAGGTCTGGTATTATGAGGGCAGAGGTGCCTCAGAAGATCTAAGTCCAGTAGGAAGCTGATGGCTGTTAAGTGGCTGGGAGTTGACTTCTTTCTGAAGTAGCCAACAGCTCAACCCTTGACTCCTGGCTGGGATCTGTGCCTTTAGGCTCACATCTGCTGGTCTCCATGACAGGACAGCAGATGCACCTGCTCTGCACACAGTTTGTGAGATTCCCTCTTTCTAAGTACCCGGTAGGCCCCATAGAGGAAGAGGTCTTGTACAGGTGTTGTCATGTCAGGGGTATCAGCTTTTGCCTAAACTCATCCTTCAGGCCTGTTTCTGTGGTGTTGTAGAACTGCTGGGCCCGTTGTGCAGGGTGCTCCTACAGACGTTTCTCTCCTTCTCCATGCTGGTTCTCCAAACTTCCCCTAAGAAGATGACTGATATGGGGAAGTTAGGAGAAGCCTGGACAGGAGAAATGTGAGATTTGAGGGAGGGAAAAGGAGCATGGACAGCAGAAGGTGATGATTTTGCAGAGGTAAGAATGTTCAGGTAATGTTAATCCCACCATAAAGCTGATTTAAAGCAGTCATGTGAGGCCCTTGTCCTATTTTAACCTGTAACGTTAATCCATAAAGATAAATGCTACTCCACACCCTGACAGGAATCCACTGCTCTAATGTTTGACCACAAGATCCCTTGAAGCCAAAACTAGTCCACAGCTGCAGTACATCACCCTTACACTCTTGCTCACCCTGATCCGTGCCCTAAACATTACCAATAACATGCTCTATTTAGCCCTAGACTTCTTGCAGACCTAAACAAAACCAAAGAACTTGCACGTACCCTAACCACAGACCTGACACCACAAGCCAAACACCAAACCCTTCCACTACGCATTTGATTAATCTCTATCACAGAAAGCTGAGCCCTAGTCCTTAACCTCATACATGGATGCCTAACAGCCAAAGCCTTGATTCCTTTGCATTCACTTCTTCACATCCAACCCTTTTCCTAACCCTTATCTTAAGCACTTAAGGTGCTTGGCCCATGGGGCAGGGTAGGAACCATGAGATTGCTCTGCAGTCACGTGGCATACAAAGATGAATGTGAGGGGCCATGGACCTGATCAGCCTGTGGGCACAAAGAGGAGATGGATGGGAGTGCTCTGAAGATCTCAGCTCTGCCTCAGCATCTCCTGCCCCAGCAGGAGGAATGTGACTGTGGCAGTGACTGTGAGGTCACTTCTGTCTCTGCACTTGATAGGGCAGCAGCAGGAACGTGTCACAGAAAGAGTCTGGGAGGTCACTTCTGCCTGAAGTAGGTGTCAGGTCACCCTTGCCTTCTCCCTGGGATCTGCAATTTGGGCTGACATCTGACAGTGGCCCTGCTAGGCCAGCAGAAGGCACCTGCTTGGAAGGATGTGGGATCCACTCTGCCTCCAGACCCAGGACAACTGTAGTGGGTTTACGGGGCAAGGTTTTGGTAGCAGGGGGCCATAGGGGTGGTTTCTGTGAGAAGGATCTAGAAGCTGCCCCATGTTTGGTAAGGTCCCCACTGTTTTCCAGAGCTGAGCAATAAGCGATATTGTTTTGCGCCTCTGTGAGAGCAGATTTAAGACAAGGAAAAAAAACGCTGTGCCACACAGCAGCTGGCAGAGTGAGAGGAGTGAGGAACAGCACCAAGGTCAGTGTAGAAGGAGGGGGAGAGGTGCTCCAGGCGCCGGAGCAGAAGTCCCCTGCAGCTTGTGGTGAGGACCATGGTGAAGCAGGATGTCCCCCTGCAGCCCATGGAGTACCACGGTGGAGCAGGGTTCCACGCTGCAGCCCGTGGAGGAGACCACGGTGGAGCAGGTGGCCCTGCACCGACGGAGGCTGCGGCCTGTGGAAGACCCCTGCCGGAGCAGATTCCGGGCCGGACCTGTAGCCCGTGGAGAGGAGACCACGCAGGAGCAGGTGACCTGGCAGGAGCTGCTGCCTGTGGGGGATCCAGGTTGGAGCAGTTTTCTCCTGAGGGATGGACCCCGTGGTACAGACCCATATCTGGAGCAGTTCTGGAAGAGCTGCTGCCTGCGGGAAGCCCACGCCAGATCAGTTCATCAAGGACTGTATCCCGTGGGTGGGACCCCACAGCACAGGGGACAAGAGTGACTGAGAAGGAGAGGCTTAGAAGACGTGTTGCAGACTGACCATAACCCCTATTCCCCCATTCCCCTGCGCCGCTCGGGGGGGAGGAGGTGGAAGAGGGTGGATGGGGGGGGAAGGTGCTTTTAGTTTCTTTCATTTGTTTCTCACTTCTCTAGCTTGTTAGTAATGAGCAATAAATCTTACTATCTTCTTATGCTGAGTCTGTTTTTGCCCGTTACAATAATTATTGCGTGATTTTTCTTGTCCTTATCTCAACCCTTGAGCCGTTTTCACATATTTTCTCCCCATTCCTCTTTGAGGAGGGGGAGTGAGAGAGCAGCTGTGGTAGAGCTCGGCTGCCCACTCAAGCGGAACCACGAAAACGACCCAGGCATAAAGAAGGCCCCCAGATGGGTTGTCCTGTCCCTTCTGCTTGAGTCCACGACTGGACAGCAGGAGGCACAAGGCTTGGCTGTGTCTAGCCAAGAAGCTGCAAGGCCAGCAGCAGGCCCCTGGCTTGGAAGCTGCTGCTAAGGTGACTTGTGTCTGGTTGGCTGACAGGCCACAAGAAGCCTGATGTGCTGGGATGCCTACTTCAAGAGTGGTTTCCACCCTGATGGAGCTTCCTTTGGTAATAGGAAAGAGCAGGAAAGAAAAACCTTCCACGAAGTGTACCTTGGAAGTTATGCATTGGCCACAAGGAGGAAGAAATGTCCCTCAAAGGGTCATTCTGTGGTGCCAGAGGCCACCCTCTGATCAGACCGTGGCTTTGTATTTCAAGGAATACCTGGTGAGGGCTGACAAGACATGGGTGAAAGCAAATGATGAGAGCAATGTGGTGTACAGAGCTGCGTGTCTGCAGACTTCAAGAAAATAGGGCAATGTGTGGGACAGAATAGGAAAGCCTGTGGAGGAGAAGGGAGAGGGTGCTGGTAAAAAGGGAAGGTGCTAAGAACCTTGAGATATTTGTCTCCTTGGCTAGAGCTTATAAGGAGAGATGTTATACTCGTTGCAATGGGGTCTCATGGATTCCTTTCAACCCTGTGCAGCACCTCAGAGGTGTCATACCAGTGTTCTTCTCATGGCATCCCACTGTCCACCACAGCCCACAGACCCCAGGAAAAGCCTTGAGCCAGACGTGATTGTACAGGATCTCGCCTTCCAGTGGCTGGGGCCAACTCTTGGCCCTTTTGCATCACCAAAACCAACCAAGACTTTTCTCAGCACAGTGCTTTGCCTTCCTGTAACCATGGCCTCCAATTATCTGCCCTAACAAGGCCCTGGGGAGCCTTTGTTAGTAACAGCCCTCAGTGGGGCCCATTCATACTCCAAGTCACTTCAACTTTTCCTCCTGACTTTACTTTCTCTAGCAGTTGCATCATTCAGCTCTCAGTACCTGAGCTTCATAGACTGAGCATCAAAATACACCATGGAACTCATTAAAATGAAAAAAATCCTTACATCTCTTCCATTTTAATCTTCAAGCCTTCACGCCTTGTGCAGCTAATTGCACAGTTTGCAAGATGTAATTAAGGAAGATTTCAAAGAGCAACTAATAAAAACCTTTTCTAGTTTCAAAGGCTGAATTTTGCTGCATTTCAGTTTTGAACCTCATTCTCCTATTGCTATTCATCCAGGGTGACTTCTTTGGAGACCTTCATCGAGAGGAAGAGCAGAGTGTGCTGGTCTGAAACCTCCACTACCAGCAGTGGTCTTTGTCCCTATAACTGCAGCCCAGCGCAGCACATGAAACCCTTTCTA